ATATGATTCTATAATGAATCTGACAGTACTTTGTGAGCGTATTGAAATCCGTAATCCTTGAGCTTGAACAGTTCAATATCACCTCTGTAAATCAAGAACAGCGTATCTTCAATGATCTTGTCATTCAGCAATGTTTCATTAAGTTTCCATTTCATGTACTCTCTACTGATTCCGTTCATAAGCTGTTGAGTCTTCTTCTCGTCTGAAATAAAGAAATCATAACCATAATCGGGAACATTGACAAACTTCGTAACACACTCCTAGCGTAGTCAGCCTTATCTGTGGGCACTCTCTTGATCAGAAATTCATAGATCTTGTCGAAAGTGTTTTCTATCTCGCTCGGGGAGACACCAAGTTGTATGAACGTTATATCCTTATGTGTCTCACCAATCTCACAATACCTAGGTGAGGCTTCGAGCTACCTTTGAGATTACCGCGAAACGAACCATGTTTGGGGAGCAATCGCCATAAACATAAGAAAGGTTGCATCGTAAAAATCCACTTTTGGAGGCTCCATTATGAGGTTCCTGAACTTCCTAACGAAGCACAAAATATCGTTTTTGGTGCAATTGAAGCAATGCTGTGCTCTGTTTCTCCTAAATGTCCTTCTTTATCACTCCAACTGAAAGAGGGAACCTACATCAAGCAGTTACTCACATACGCTTTGGTGAATCGAAGGAACGGCTCCTGATAGATGAAAAGATGATTTACATCATAATTCAAATGAATGTTTACATCCAATGAATGTAAAAACTTATTTCTACCATAACATGGTCTGGAGAGCAATGAGATGCTGATGATAGGATGACGAACTACCTTTCAGTAGGGTGATTCAATTCGAAAGTGGTGTTGCTCTCCAGAAAGTATTCTGTATCATACAAATAGCACATCATATTTTCAGCCATGTAGTCGTAAACTCCTCGTACGGCACAGTATGATATGTGATATTCAGGCACAGTCTGGAAAGTGGATAGAATTCGTACTACATCGTGTATGTACTATCTCACATAGTATAGGCTGACA